CCTGGGTTCAAGCAATTCTCCTGCCTCAGCCTCCTGAGTAGCTGGGATTACAGGCATGCGCCACCACGCCCAGCTGATTTTTTGTATTTTTAGTAGAGACGGGGTTTCACCATGTTGACCAGGATGGTCTCGATCTCTTGACCTCGTGATCCACCTGCCTTGGCCTCCCAAAGTGCTGGGATTACAGGCGTGAGCCACCGCGCCCGGCATGAACTCATCTTTTTAATGGCTGCATAGTATTCCACGACATATAAGTGCCATGGTTTCTTTACCCAGTCTATCATTGATGGGCGTTAGGGTTGGTTCTGAGTCTTTGCTATTGTGAAGAGTGCCATGATAAACATAGGTGTGCATGTGTCTTTATAATAGAATGATTTATAATCATTTGGGTATATACCCAGTCATGGAATTGCTGGGTCAAATGGCATTTATAGATCTAGATCCTTGAGGAATGGTCACACTGTCTTACATAGTGGTTGAACTAATTTACACTCCCACCAATAGTGTAAAAGTGTTCCTATTTCTCCACATCCTCTCTAGCAGCTGTTGTCTCCTGATTTTTTAATGATTGCCATTCTAACTGGCATGAGATGATATGTCAATGTTGTTTTGATTTGCATTTTCCTAATAACCAGTGAAGATGGGCATTTTTCCATGTTTGTTGCTGCATAATGTCTTCTTTTCAGAAATGTCTGTTCATATCCTTTGCCACTTTTTGATGGGGTTGTTTTTTTCTTGTAAATTTAAGTTCTTTGTAGATTGTGAATAATTAGCCCTTTGTCAGATGGGTAGATTCAAAAATATTTTCCCATTCTGTTGGTTGTCGGTTCACTCTAATGATAGTTTCTTTTGCTGTGTATAAGCTCTTTAGTTTAATTAGATCCCATTTGTCTCTTGGATTGTTGCCATTGCTTTGGTGTTTTAGTCATGAGGTCTTTGCCCATGACTGTGTCCCTAGTGGTATTGCCTAGGGTTTCTTCCAGGGTTTTTATGGTGTAAGGTCTTATGTTTAGATCTTTAATCCATCTGAAGTTAAATTTAGTTTAAGGTGTAAGGAAGGGATCCAGTTTTAGCTTTCTGCATATGGCTAGCCAGTTTTCCCAACACCATTTATTAAATAGGGTATCTTTTCCCCATTGCTTGTTTTTATCAGGTTTGTCAAAGATCAGATGGTTGTAGATGTGAGGCCTCTGTTCTGTTCCAGTGGTCTATATCTCTGTTTTGGTACCAGTGCCATGCTATTTTGATTACTGTAGACTTGTAGTATAGTTTGAAATCAGGTAGGTGATGCCTGTAGCTCTGTTGTTTTTGCTTAAGATTGTCTTGGCTATGCAGACTCTTCTTTGGTTCCATATGAAGTTTAAGGTGTTTTTTTCCAATTCTGTGAAGAAAGTCAGTGGTAGCTTGATGGGGATAGCATTGAATGTATAAACTACTTTGGTCAGTATGGCCATTTTCACAATATTGATTCTTCCTAATCATGAGCATGGAATATTTTTTCATCTGTTTGTGTCCTGTCTCATTTCCTTGAGCAGTGGTTTGTAGTTCTCCTTAAAGAAGTCCTTGTTGTGAATAAGGATGTGACTACAGTTGTGAAAACAACTGTGTTCCTAGGTATTTTATTGATTTGGCTCTCTGTTTATCTGTTATTGGTTTATAGGAATGCTTGTGATTTCTGCACATTGATTTTGTATCCTGAGACTTTGCTGAAGTTGGTTATCAGCTTAAGGAGATGGGGGCTGACATGATGGGGTCTTCTAAATATACAATCATGTCATCTGCAAATAGAGACGATTTGACTTCCTCTTTTCCTAATTGAATATCCTTTCCTTTTCTTGCCTGAGTGCCCTGGCCAGAACTTCCAATATTATTTTGAATAGGAGTGGTGAGAGAAGACACCCTTGTCTTGGCCAGTTTTCAAAGGGAATGCTTCCAGTTTTTGCCTACTCAGTATGATATTGGCTATGGGTTTGACATAACTAGCTCTTATTATTTTGAGATATGTTCCATTGATACCTAGTTTATTGAGAGTTTTTAGCATGAAGGGCTGTTGAATTTTGTCAAAGGCCTTCCCTGCATCTATTGAGAAAATCGTGGTTTTTGTCTTTGGCTCTGTTTATGCGATGGATTGTGTTTATTTGCATATGTTGAAGCAGCCTTACATCACAGGGATGAAGCTGATTAGATTGTGATGGATAAGCTTTTTGATGTGCTGTTGGATTTGATTTGCCAGGATTTTATTGGGGATTTTCGCATCAATGTTCTTCATGGATATTGGCCTGAAATTTTCTTTGGTGGTTGTGTCTCTACCAGGGTTTGGTATCAGGATGATGCTGATCTTATAAAACAAGTTAGGGAAGATTCCTTCTTTTACTATTGTTTGGAATAGTTTCAGAAGAAATGGTACCCAGCCCCTCTTTGTACCTCTGGTAGAATTCGGCTGTGAACCCATCTGGTCCTGGACTTTTTTGATTGGTAGGCTATTAATTGCTCCCTCAACTTCAGACCTTGTTAGCGGTCTAATGACTTCTTCCTGGTGTAGTCTTGGGAAGGGTGTAAGTGTCCAAGAATTTATCCATTTCTTCTAGATTTTCTGGTTTATTTGCATAGAGTATTTATAGTATTCTCTGATAGTAGTTTATACTTCTGTGGGATCAGTGGTGATATCCCCTTTATCATTTTTTATTGCATCTGTTTGATTTTTCTCTCTTTTCTTTATTAGTCTGCCTAGCAGTGTATCTATTTTGTTGATCTTTTCAAAAAACCAGCTCCTGGATTTATTGATTTTTTTGAAGGGTTTTTGGTGTCCCTCCTTCAGCTCTGCTCTGATCTTAGTTACTTAATGTCTTCTGCTAGCCTTTGAATTTGTTTGCTCTTGCTCCTCCGGTTTTTTAATTGTGATGTTAGTGTGTCGATTTTAGATCTTTCTTGGTTTCTCTTGTGGGCATTTGGTGCTATAAATTTCCCTCTTCACACTGCTTTAAATTGTCCCAGAGATTCTGGTACATTGTGTCTTCATTTTCACTGGTTTCATAGAACATCTTTATTTCTGCCTTCATTTCGTTATTAGTACAGTAGTCATTCAGGAGCAGGTTGTTTAGTTTCCATGTTTTTGTGCAGTTTTCTAATTTGACTGAACTGTGGTCTGAGAGACTGTTATGATTTCTGTTCTTTTGTACTGGCTGAGGAGTGTTTTACTTCCAATTATGTGGTCAATTTTAGAATAAGTGTGATGTGGTGCTGAGAAGAATGTATATTCTGTGGATTTGAGGTGATTTCTATTAGGTCTGCTTAGTCCAGAGCTCAGTTCAGTTCTGTACATTCTTGTTAATTTTCTGTCGCGGTCTAATACTGGAATGGGGAGTTAAAGTCTCCCATTAATACTATGTGGGAATCTAAGTCTCTTTTTAGGTCTTTAAGAACTTGCTTTATTTATCTGAGTCTTCCTGTATTGGGAGTGTATATGTTTAGGATACTTAGCTCTTCTTGATGCATTCATCCTTTTACTATTATGTCATGCCCTTCTTTGTCTCTTTTGATTGTTGTTGCTTTAAAGTCTGTTTTAGCAGAGACTAGGATCATGACCTCTGCTTTTTTTTGCTCTCCATTTGCTTGGTAAATCTTCCTCCATCCCTTTAATTTTGAGCCTATGTGTGCCTTTACACGTGAGATGGATCTCCGGAATACAGCACACCAATGGATCTTCACTATCTAATTTGCCAGTTTGTGTCTTTTAATTGGGGCATTTAGCCCATTTACATTTAATTCACACATAACAATATTAACATTTAAGGTTAATGTTTTTATGTGTGAATTTGATCCTCCCATTTTGATGCTAGCCTACTGTTTTGCTTGTTCATTGATGCAGTTTCTTCGTAGTGTTGATGGTCTTTACAATTTGGTATGTTTTTGCAGTGGCTGGTTCTGGTTGTTCCTTTCCATGTTTAGTGCTTCCTTCAGGACTTCTTGTAAACCAGGCCTGATGATGACAAAATCTATCAGCAGTTGCTTGTCCATAAAGGATTTTATTTCTCCTTGGTTTATGAAGCTTAGTTTCACTGGATATGAAATTCTAAGTTGAAAATTCTTTTAAGGATTTTGAATATGGGCCCCCACTCTCTTCTTGCTTGTAGAGTTTCTGCCAAGAGATCTGCTATGATAGGCTTCCCTTTGTAGGTAACCTGACCTTTCTCTCTGGCTGCCTTTAACATTTTTCCTTCATTTCAACCCTGGTGAATGTGATGATTGTGTCTTAGGGTTGTTCTTCTCAAGGAGTATCTTTGCGGTGTTCTCTGTATTTCCTGAATGTGAGTGTTGGCCTGCTTTGCTGGGCTGGGGGAGTTCTCCTGGTTAATATCCTGAAGAGTATTTTCCAGCTTGGTTTCATTGTCCCCGTCACTTTCAGGTACACTGATGAAATGTAGATTTGCTGTTTTCACATAATCCCACATTTCTTGGAGACTTTATTTTATTGAGTTGATCTTCAATCTCTGATATCCTTTCTTCTTCTTGATAGATTTGGCTATTGAAACTTGTGTATGCTTTACAAAGTTCTCATACTGTGGTTTTCAGCTCCATGAGGTCCTCTCTGTTGTTCTCTATGCTGGTTATTCTAGTTAGCATTTCGTCTCACCTTTTTTTGAAGGGTCTTAGTTTCCTTGCATTGGGTTAGTACATGCTCCTTTAGCTTGGAGAAGTTTGTTATTACCCACCTCCTGAAGCCTGCTCTGGTTAATTTGTCATACTCATTTTTCGTCCAGTTTTGTTCCCTTGCTTGTGATCCATTGGAGGAGAGAGTCATTCTGGTTTTTGTAGTTTTCAGCCTTTTTGCAGGGGTTGATCTACCTTTGGTCTTTGACGTTGGTGACCTTTGGATGGGGTCTCTGAGTGGACATCCTTTCGGTTGATGTTGAAACTATTTCTTTGTTAGCTTTCTCTTTGTTAGTTTTCCTTCTAACAGTCAAGCCCCTCTGCTGCAGGTCTGCTGGTGGTTCACTCCAGACCCTGTTTGCCTGAGAATCACCAGCGAGGGCTGCAGAACAGCAAAGACTGCTGCCTGTAGCTGAGTTCCAGCAGATGCCAGCCAGAGGTCTCCTGTATGAGGTGTCTGTTAGCCTCTGCTGGGAGATGTCTCCCAGTCGGGATCCACTGGGGTCAAGGAGCTCCTTGAGGAGGCATTCTGTCCCTTATCAGAGCTCGAATGCTGTGCTGGGAGATCCACTGTTCCCTTCAGAACAGCCAGGCAGGGACGTTTAAGTCTGCTGAAGCTATACCTACAACTGCCCCTTTTCCCAGGTGCCTTTTGTCAGGAAGGTGGGGCCTTTAGAAGTCCTTGATGGGCTGCTGCCTTTTTTCAGAGATGCCCTGCCCAGCAAGGAGGGAGTCTGGTGACATAGTCTGCCTGCAGAGGCCTTGTTGTTATGGGCTCTGCCCAGTCACTGTGAAAACTTCCCCGTGAGTTTGTTTACACAGGCGAGGTTAAAACTGCCTACCTGAGCTTCAGCAATGGCAGACGCCCCTCCCCTTCACTGAGCCAAAACAACCCAGGTCAAGCCGACTGCTGTGCTGGCTGCCAGAATTTCGAGCCAGTGGATCTTAGCTTGCTGGTCTTCATGGGGGTGGGACCTGCTGAGCCAGATCACTTGGCTCCCTGGTTTCAGTCCCCCTTTTTCAGGAAAGTTAATAGTTCTGTCTCTCTGGCATTCCCGGTACCATTGGAGGTTAAAAAAAAAAATGCAGCTAGTTTGGGAAAACACCAAACGGCTGCCCAGTTTTGTGCTGGAAACCCAGGGCACTGGTGTTGTAGGCACCAGAGGGAATCTCCTGGTGTGCAGGTTGTGAAGACCATGGGAAAAGTTCCTAATGGCTTACCTTCACAAGGAACAGGAGATCCTCAGCCCCTTGCACTTCCCGGGTTAGGCAGTGCCCTACCCTGCTTTGGCTCACCCTCCTTGGGCTGCACCCACTGTCTAACCAGTCCCAGTGAGATGAGCCACATACCTCAGTTGGAAATGCGGAGATCACCCACCTTCCTCTTCGCTCTCACTGGGAGCTGTGCACAGGAGCTCTTCCTATTTGGCCATCTTGCCAGTAATCTTTTACCTGGTTTTAAAATAACCTATTGTATGGCTTGTCTGGACAAAACAGCCAGCCATTCTGGAACCTTGGCATTAACCAGGTTCTTGGTTTTTATAACTCAGGTACTGCAACTACTGTGACTTACAGTGAGACAAAAGATACAAACACAACAGAAATTTCGCCAACTAGTGGACTAGTTCCTGGAGGTATTGAGTTCAGTACTGCGAACTATTAATCTCAACTAACGGCTACACTCTTTGTATCTATGACTTAAATAATTAATGCAGCCTTTAACTACTAGTTCTGCCCCAATTGGTAACCTATATTTAAACTCCAAAGACTTAAAACTTGCATATCTTATCCTGACTGACCATTAAGGTTTCTAATAGAGAGCTGTCAGGGAAGGGGCCATTACAGCATGTGACTCAAATACTTCTAGGCCAGAGTTGTTCCTGGTATTCACTTGTAGTAGATACTAAACAACAATATTGGATGCATAGGTTTTGGGTCCTTACCTGATGGGTTAATTTCTAAGTCTGAATACAGCCCCTTCCAAACTGATTCCTTTTATTCCTCTGTAGGGATCAATGTGACCACAGCAGTCTCAGAAGTCAGTGTTCCCCCAAAAGGGACTTCCGCTGCATGGGCCATTCTTCCTCTCTGTAAGTAGATTTCCTATACATATGGATTCAAGAACTTCTTAGAAACAGATGAACATTTTTTGTTCATCTGCAGCTACCCCTTTCCTGGCCCTTTATGCTGTAATAGCACTATGACACTGAATTTCATCCACTTTCTCCCCAACATGGTACACTAAGTTAAGGCTCCTATCTTCCTCTTCAGTTGTGCCCTTGACACAGTTATTGGCATGATAAATGTTCAACAGTCAATGAAAGGTACTTACTGCTTTCTACTTCAGCACTGTTAGCCTGGCTTATCCCCTTTTATAATAAGTCCCTTTAACTAGTGTACGGTTCTGTTCCCCTTTGAAATGCGTGTAATACTTCATACAGAGGAGATGAACAAATGCTTAAATGCTTTCTTAAAGAGTTATAGGACTTGTTGAGGGTAAATTAAAAGCAGTTAAGAATTTTCAAACCTAGGGAAAAGGGCCTCTAAAACTAAGGACTTTGCTATAATAGCCGCTTTGTCCAAATTACTAGATTCTAAGCTTAGCTAACACAGCGGGACCACCTGAATAGCTCTCCAGAATATTCTGCAACTTTAATTTGGTCTGCCTAAGGTGGGACCCAGGACTCTGCATTGCCTGAATGGTTGTGGCTATCCCAGCTGCAGAGCATAGAACTACCTCTGGGCTGAACTTGTTTCAAGCTGCTGGCCCATGTTAATTCCAACTTCTGATTAACCTAGCTCAATAAAACATGACATTTTTACTAATGTCAATTATTATGGATTCCTGAACATTATTACCTTTCTTGTATGTTCCAATACCAGACTTAGCTCACTTACCTACTGTCTGATTTTTTTTCCAGTGCTCTTAGTGATGGCAGCAGTAGGTGGCTACTTGATGTGGCGGAATTGGCAACACAAGAATATGAAAAGCATGAACTTTGACAATCCTGTATACTTGAAAACCACTGAAGAGGACCTCTCCATAGACATTGGTAGACACAGTGCTTCTGTTGGACACACGTACCCAGCAGTAAGTCAGCTTTGGGTCTTTATACACCATGGCTTGAAGTCAGACGTTTCAGAAAGGAGACCTGGGCTAGAGAGAGCCATTAGGATGATGGAGTCACCAAACGCCTCATCTGCTACCTGGATATTAGGCAGTGTAGCCTGTTAGAACATAAGTCAGTCAGTTGATCAGCATCTAACCGTCATCCAATAGCAAGTGGGACGACTTAAGGTCACCACTATATTAAGATATTTTTGCTTATTGAAATAACATGTAAATATTAGCATGAACCAAATAGCTCTTTATTAAATCCATTGCCTACTGGATATCTGAAAGTAAATTAGCATATCATATATAGGGAAGTTGGCTTAAAGTCGATGGTGTATTGAGTAAGAGTCACATAGCCAAAATTACTATATGCTGTGCTTTAAATAGTATCCCATCACACTTACCATAGCTAGCTTTTCTTCCAGCGGTAGTCATCACTTGTTCTTCAGATGAAACCCAAGTGTAGTATTTGGCCTTCACGTAGGGAACAGGCTGAAGAAAACAAGTATTCACAACTCCCCTCTCAAGCTCTGGTGAAACACGGAACAGTGGTCAGTTATTGACATATAGCGTTTCACATTTTTCTCCAACACTTACAGGCAGAAATCAGTCACACTGTCCGAACTCACTGCCAAGCAGGTACAGTTGAATTCAGGTTAAATGCATGAGTGATACAACTTGTTAATCTTTTGTATCTGACTTTTCTTCTGAGCACTCTGTGTCTGAATGACCGACTCAAAAGCAAGGTCCATTTTAAAGACTAGAGTTGCCATGCGTGAGCAATCACCAAGCTTATTCCATACCTCTTCTTTTCCGCAGATATCAGTTGTAAGCACAGATGATGATCTAGCTTGACTTCTGAGACAAGTCTTGACCTTTGAGGTCTAAACCTGTAATAACCCCGTCGGAATGGTAACAGAGTCAGCAGCTGAAGTCTCTTTCTTCCCCTCGTCTGGAAGAACATCAAGATACCTTTGCGTGGATCAAGCTTGTGTACTTGACCATTTTTACATTACTTTTGTAAATATTGTCCACATTCTACTTCAGCTTTGGATGTGGTTACCAAGTATCCGTAACCCTTGAATTTCTAGACAGTATTGCCACCTCTGGCCAAATATGCACTTTCCCTAGAAAGCCATATTCCAGCAATGAAACTTGTGCTGTAGTGTATACCACCTGTACATACATTGTATAGGCCCTCTGTAAATATCCAAGAGAACAATCACTATTCTTAAGCACTTTGAAAATATTTCTATGTAAATTATTGTAAACTTTTTCAATGGTTGGGACAATGGCAATAGGACAAAACGGGTTACTAAGATGAAATTGCCAAAAAAAATTTGTAAACTAATTTTGTACGTATGAATGAAATCTTTGACCTCAGTGGAGGTTTGCAAAGACTGAGTGTTCAAACTACTGTACATTTTTTTTCAAGTACTCAAAAATTAAACCAAGCAGCTTAACCATGGTTTGTGCCTGTTCCTCTAGGATAAACTCCTAGCCTGAGTAGTATCAAGTGTTCTAACTAAATATGTGAGGTATAGTTCTTGATGTTGTATAACTAAGCCTGTAACTGGGCTAGTTTCTCTTACACCGAAGTACTAGCTGAAAAATGAAGTGCTATTTAACATTTGCTCCAGAAATATTTCTTACTGTGTAAAAGAAGCTGGCTTAGTCTGTACCTAGAATTCTCTTGCTTAGAGGAGTTTCTTTTCTCATTAGCTTGTTTCCTAATCAAAAAACGTGTACCAAGATTTCTATGAATTCTGCTTCTTATAGTTAAGTCTCTGTTTTCCATGTTCTGTCATTTATATAGATCAAGGACAAGTGCCTTCTAAGGCATGGATAAGGGCTTTCTTCTTATAAAAGTCTAGACTATCTTACTGTGAAGATGGCCAAGGAGGATAGCAAGCAATGCCATTCTTGAACAATCTAAGGCAGGGTTCTCAGTGTGGTAGTGGGAACAGAAGCATCTACATCACCTGAGAATGTGTTAGAAATGCAAGTTCTCTGCCCCATCCCAGATCTACTGAATCAGAAACTCTGGGGGTAGGGCTGAAACCTGCTTTCATAAGCCCTTCAGGCGATACTGATGTAAACTAAAGCTTAAAATTTCTGTTTTAATGTGACTTCATGAAGACTATACTTGTAATATCACTTAAATTATTATCCTGGCTGGCATAGGGCAGATTCTTACTATGGACAATTTCTGGAACTTACAGTATGAAGAGCAGATGAGGAGTTTGAATTTTCCTTTAGGTTGGCCATGACTTTCTCTGAAGTCTCATGAAGGCTGGAAGCGAGGGAAGACACAAGACTTGAAGCACCGGATGGATGCTGTGCGTCCCGAGCGCGGTGTGGAGTAGACTGTGGAAGGTACAGCAGTTCCTCTGGATCACGTGACTGACCCACACAGTAGCAACAGGATGAAGAGAAGATGCATCAGTGGATGACTCATATTTCATCTGCTTATGTAATATAAGGCAGTTAACATCTTGCTTGTGGCTTAAGCAAGGAAATCAATATTACTAGATGGGGGAAGTTGATGCTGTCGCCTTAAGGCATGCCCCCTTGTGATTTTGGTCCATTGAACGAAAAAGTAGAGATAGCCTTGGACCTTTTTTTCATGGGAGGTATGGAGGTCAAGCATGTAGAAGGAGAAGCACGCAGTCGTGAATATAGAGCTGTCTGCCCTCCACCTTGTTCTTACATTTAGTCATCACACGGAACAGCATGTGGCCTGCTGACAGGGAGTAGCTCAAGTGCCTATTTGGTAAGTAGGTTAGTATTCATCATGAACCCTGAAAGCCATTCCAGAGTCTGGCTGCTGCTCCGACCCTGCTATGGCACAAAAAAACACAGATTTTTTTTTTTAACTGGAGTAATACCAAATTCCCTTTTAGAAGCTTAAAGTTTGATACTAGTGCTTTCCCCATTATAAGGATTATACGGTATTAATTAATCATAAGGCCCAAAGTTTGTTTTGGCAAATAAAGCATTATTCTTCTTCATTATCACCATCATCTTTTGAATTCCTGTCCCTGGTATGATCTTTCAGGTTCTGGGTACAAATTTCCAACCCTCAAAGAGTCTAAAACATCTCATTTTTTTACCTGGTCCTCCCCAGTAAGAAGCCAAGGTACAACTCATTGTACCTAACTGAAGAGGTATAAACTCATTTAAAGAAACAAAGTAACTCGGTATTTCTATTGAGATAAGAATAGTTATATTGCAAGGCCTAGCACAGTGGCTCACACCTATAATCTCAGCACTTTCAGAGGCCAAGGCAGGAGTTTGAGACCAGTCTGGGAAACATGGTGAGACCCTAAAAAAAATTTAAAAAGTAAAAAATTAATATAGTTATATGACTAAACTGCTAGTCAATACGGCTTGTAACAATAGTGCATGAATGACAAGAGCCCTAGACTTTATCACCCAAACAAGAACTTTAATTCTATGTGAAATGTGTTGGGCTAAGTTTGCTGTGTCTCGAGAGTTTACTGTAGAAGATAATTAAGAGGTAAAACATGAAGGTTTGCACACAGTAAAAGGAGAATATTTGGAGTTGGATGAGCCTATCATACAAAGTGACTGAAAGTTGACCCTCCAGAAATTTTAGGAATTGCCACAAGGATTGATAGATGATGAATAAACAGATTTGTGGCCTCCAGTAAAGAAATCCAACCAAGTTCCACTGTCCAGATTTTTAAATGCCCTTTGCAAGCTACGTATTTGGCAAAAATAGTCCTAGTTGTTCAGCCGGCTCCCTTAAAACATTCTAATAGGTGTTTTGAAGCCTTGGTATCTCTTCCTCTTTAGTTCTTGATAAATACAAGCCCAAAAATAATAACTGAGGCTTCAACTTTGGCATTTGCTTCTGTTCCTTCTATCTGTGGAAGTCAAATAGCTCTTTTCAAAAATGAGAAGCCAACCTTTAAATAACAAACTATATGGTATTAAAAGACTAACTCTTCAGAATGCTGTAGAAATGGGAGACCTACTTCAAGTCTACCTTTTAACAATCTTCAGCGCAAACCTAAAGATTCTAGGGGTCACTTAACTCTCATATTATGTAACCTAATTCGAATAACTTCCTACAATTCTTACTAGTGAAATCTTACCCTAGTAAAACAGTTATTATAAATCCAAATGAAAACTATAGTTTTGGCTTTCGATGGTGGCAAAAACTTGCAAAAAACAGATATACTTTTGCTGATTTAAGTTCAAGTACAATGACTACAGCCTGCTAATCTTGATCCCCAAATCTGAGCCTTTCCATTTCATAATTGTTTTATCCTGAATGTACTTGTGACATAGACATTTCTCAAAAGGGTCTGATACATCCAACTCTTAACAAGTAGGAGTAGCAACTAGCAAAAAGTAGAAAGAAGCTTCCCTCATTGTGGGTAATGAGGAAGTACCTAAAAACCACATATATATAATCCCCTGTGGTATTATATATTCTGCAAGCCCCGTAGGTGGGGAGGCGGTGGCAATAGTTGCATCAGCACTAACTGCTGCTGCTGCATGTTCTGTTGGTGGCTGCCGGCCGAGTGTGCACACTGAGCCCCGGCCGAGGTGCACTGCCTGCTGCGGTCTGTTAAGCATCTCACCAGAGGGGGAGGGCACATCGAGCGATTCCACTTTCTTAAATAAAAGATTTTTAGGTATTTTTGATATTATACATTCTTTAACGCCAGAAGGGGCTTGTAATGACTTCTCTTCCAGAATTGTACTATTTAAAAACTACATGTAAATATCCTGACAAGTATGATTTTTGGAGGGGTAAACTAAAAATTGCACATCCATGCTTCAGCCATATCATGGACCTAAAGTATGAGAGTTCAGGAATACATATAAGTAGAAAACTCTTCAAAGGTACTTATTTCCAAACATGGAGGGAATAAATCTGAAAATGGAACACTGGCGTTTTTCAAACTTATGTCTCTCAAATCCAGCCTGGAAGATTTGCAGCTCAAAACAGTTGCATGTGAAGGATATGAGCCATCTTTGCATATCCCATTCATATCTCCCTTCACACACGAAAAGCTGAATGCATTTTACCAGTGAAGCTCTAGATATGAAACTTTGGGGTCCAGAGATAAATAAGCTACTAACAAACAGTAACAATGGTGTTCCGTCTCTCTATCATGTCTCCTGAGTCTCTTACACATTTTTGAGCCTGGCTCGTCTGAGAAACAGGAACAAAGTAGGACCGTGAATGACCCAGTATTCTCCTGTAAATCTCCTTCCATCCATGAACACTGAGGCAGGAGTAAGACCAGCTGTGGGTGGGGAATTTGTGCTCTGCAGGTTACCGCATAGCATATCAAAAATGGCTTTTTTCTTCACTGTGCTTAAGGAAAAAGTCAGATCGGTGGCAAGGTAGTTCTGTTTAGAAGCAGCAGGCAATGTAGTTAACAGCACAGACTTCTGTGTCAGCCTTATGTGTGGAACCTTGGGAAGTTACTAATTCCCTGTGTAAAGTAGAGATGATGGGGACTGTCTCACTGTGACACGGTAAGAGTTAAGTGAGATGCACACAAAAAGCTCAGAACACTGTCTGGCATCTAATATGTTCAGGGCAGATGTCACTACTGAATATCACATCAATGCTAGGTCTCCACTTACTGTCACACACAGGAACTGGTAAGTGACTTTACCAATGAAAGTCACAGGTACCTTTACTTACAATGTAACATGCATTAGCTACTGACCCTGGTGTTCTCCACTACTCCTGTCTAAAGAGATCTAAGTCTGAAATTTAGGGAGCAATAGCACCTTGCATAGTTAAGAAAGCTTAAAAGATGGCATGGTTTTAAACCCTAGAAACATAGCTGGGATATTTCCACCTCTATTCTTTTAACTACCTCCTAGGACGTGGAATCAAATATTTGGGAGCCTGCATAGTCTTCAGATGCCTGCCAAAGCACGTAAAATCTCCTTTAAATTCTTACCACATGCTTACATTTGTGCTAAGTAAGCGCTCCCAAGTCTTATTTGCTCTTCACAGCAACCCTAATAGATATCTCCATTTTACATATGTAAAACCTGAGGCTATAAATAATACGTGATTCCAAATTCTGCATGCTTACTGCCATCTCCTCTTAGAAGGGGATGCAGTACGATACAAAGATTGAGTTGGATGTTGCATTGCATGTTTGCTGAGTCCCCTTTGCTGCGGATGTTAGGATCCTTCAGCAGTTTCTCAGATGCCAGTGATGGCTGGCATCCAATATGGTGGCGCAGTGGAAGTCTATCACTAGCACTTATATATCAGGTCAGCACGATCAACTCAGTTATGTGTTATGCCTTCAAGATGCTCAACATTCCAGAATTATTTTCTTTGGCCATCCAAGTGAAGTAGAAGTAAATTATTGGACTGCAAAGAAAAAGATAAAGATTCCCTAAAAGAATTTATGGCATGCAACTTCATTCTTATGTGTAAGATATTGGGAGAAAAGCTATAACACAGCTAATCTTAAGTTTCAAGGCTTTCATGTAAGGAGAAACACGGCCAAAAAGACAGGAAGAACTGTGGCTTGTAACTGAATGATGCTGTAACTCCAGGATTGGATCTTAGATGTTCTGGAATCTACCCCTGAGACTTGGGTATTTATCAGTGTACACACATGCAAGGAGGAAAATAATTTTTTGAACAAAATGACTGGCTTTGACAAAACTATCTTGCTCTTTTTAAATGTCACTTGATACTACAATGTGATTTAAAAGCATGTAATGCCTCAGGAGTCTGGCACATACAACCAAATTATCATGCTCAGGATCTTCAGAATTCTAAAGGCACATGTAAGAATGCACAGAGTCCTGATGACCTGTCAATAAACATTTTATATTAATGAACTGTACATTTAAATAAAAGTTTATTTTTGAGATAATTGTTGTGAGCCTTTCCTTTTTCTAGAGACCTTTTATAAAAGCTTTTACTCAAGTCTTTTTTTCCTCAACTGAATCACGGAAGATGATCCCTTTCTAGGAAACAAGTAAGGCCACCCCGGTCTGGACTCTTCAGGCTAAAAAACTGAGAGATTTTTCCTAGTGCCTCACCATCAGCAGCCAGTATATCGTCCTCTCAATTTTCCCTCTCTACCCCTTCCATGAAAGAGACAGAAGTCAAAGCTACTGTTACTTAGTTAGGAATGTTAGCCTAGAACTTCCTTCTCATAGGTGACTGAAAATAGGCGATACCTGGCTAAAGGAGGGGAATACCCCAGGACAGCAGGACAGGAAAGGCCATGACAAAGAAGTAAAATCATTTTGATGCTGTCCCTCGTCAGCTCTTAAATGGTCTGTGTTGACATTCATTAATAAGGCTAAAACTTTTGTAAGCTGTAGATACAGTCTACCTAAAACTTTCCTAAGCAATGGCCCTAACTGTTTGAATTTGATTGGCCACTAAACCTTGAAAATGACTCGGAGGATCCAAAAGAATAGAAGGAGGAAAATAAGTAAATCAAAAGAAAGAGAAACTGTCAAAAAAAATAAAATAAAGCTCAACAGTGAGTCCTTAATAAGTGAGATGCTGTATTTTGTTTGAGATGTTGATTTTACCAGCTTTGCAGTGAGATGGATATAAGTTTGGTTGTTTTCCTACCAATCAGCTGTGGCTACAAGTAAGCTGCTTGCCAGCCAAGCTTTTGTCCTCTTCTGACAATCACAACACCTACTTTCACAGAGATCTCATAAAAGAGAGAGGCAACATGGATAAAGTGCTTCATTCAAACAACAGCTGCTATTTCCCTCTATGGCACAAAAAAAAAAAAAAATCATGATTCATCTTTTTAAAAGTAAAGTTAGATACTTATGCCCATTCAGAGATCTGATTTTGATCTGTACTCTTGTATTAAAATTCCATTTGCAAGTGTTCGTTGCTAAATCTCCCCTTGAAAGGCTAGCATTTGGTGATCTTTTTTCACTCCAAAAAATCAGGATGATTAATCATCCTACACAGATTAACTTTGCAGAAGACCTCGTGTGTGACCCTCTGCTGATTAAAGAACACAGTTATTGTTTTAAGCTCACTAATTATTCAGAAATGTCCTTTTAATTAGCGGGGGTAAGAAGACAGTCTATACCTAATACCACTCTGGAAGGTATAACACACTCTTTGCATTTATCAAGCTCAGCAAATATGACTGGCCCACAATCTAGTAAATGTGGAATGCTAGATTTTGTATGAACATTTAATGCTATAATGTTCGATTCAGAGGCATTTCTTGCCTACTGGTTGACTGAGGGCAAAGAGTATATTTTAAACCCCTAGTCATTGTTTCTGTTTTCTTAAATTTAAATTTTCTTAAATTTACTCTTGCCTACTGGTTGACTGAGGGCAAAGAGTATATTTTAAACCCTTAGTCATTGTTTATGTTTTCTTAAATTTACTCACTTACATGTGAGATTTGCTGAGGATTAGCTCTTTAAAGCTGCAGGGAAATTTGCCTTTTGGCCTGACCCCAGACAAATAGCCCTGTGGTTTCCTAATCAGACTTCTAAATGCTGGAGGATAATTTTAGATAACTAGATAGCAACTGGCATTCCTCCTCAGACCTCAGGGGACTTAAAGTAACAGTTTATAAAAGGTTCCAGAACAGTTTTATAATTGGCACATCCTAGATGGAACATCAGTTATGGGGAAGTGCAAATATTTCTTAAACTTTTAACAAAATCAAGGAAGGACATATAGATCAGCCCTGTCAGAAGGTATCCCTCCTTATAGCCACACATAGACACCCCCTACATGTGCTGTCTTTACTTCATTTGTTTGTCTAGTGCCTGTTATATACCAGGTACTGTTCTAGGTTCTGGGGAACCAGTGAGAACATAACAGATCAGAGCCCCATCCTTCATGGTGCTCATTCTAGCTGGGAATCAGACACTAAACAGACATTTGTATGTCAGGCAGTGATAAAAATCTATAAATATCCACAAAACAGAGTAGGGGACTAGAGAATGGCAGAATGTGCTATTTTAGATAAAGTGGTCAAGGAAGCTCTCAAAAGGGAGGACGTAGCAGAGAAGCGGGAGGAAATGTGGCATAAGCCCACTGAGGCATAGTAAAGACATGAATCCCGAGGCAAGAGCATGCTTGATTCATCTAAGAAAAAAGCAAGGTGGACTTGATAGCTGGAGGTGGCAGAGGCAGAATGCAAGGAGGGAAAGGAAGAAGGACCAAGTGATGTCAACTTCAAGAGCTGTGGCTGGGACTCAGAATTTTCTTTTAAGTGACAGGACCATTTTAGTGGGCTTGGGGCAATAGAGTGCCATCCAATTTTCAAAGGCTCACACTGGCTGCTTTGTTTAGAATGCACGGCAGGGAGGCAAGGGTGAAAACGGGGAGATAAATTAGGAGACTCTGGTAGTGGCCCTGGTACATGGTCATGATGTGAGCTAAGCCAGTGGGGCTGAAAGCAAGCTCTATTCCACATTCAGTCCATCACAGGGGGTGTGTTTACAGGCTGTCTCCCCATAGTGGGGGGAATTCAGCTTGTAGATGGTTCCTTAATCCAGAAGAATCTCAACAGTTCCTATGTCCCCTGTGTCCTCTGCCTGTGGGATATCTGTTTGGCTGCCCTTGTGATTGGGCAGGGATGACAGGCACAACCCCAGCACAGCTAGAAAAACACAAGCCTGTATGGAAAGCGGGAGAAAAGCCATGCTCCTCCCTAACCAAAAGCAGCCAGGATTTAGAAGAAAAGAAAAGTCTAGAACATGAATCCCAGCCCCGCAAAAGTTCAAAGTCTTCAAACGATTCAAAGGAAGTTATTCTCTGATTTCAACATAAAGGCCTTCCAGGAACATATTTTGGCAGCATCAGTTTAATATGGAGTTCCATACTAGGTCTTGAGTAATGTTCTCTGGAGGAATGTTTGTATGAACGGCATCATTTTCTAAAAATATGACGGTTTAGACAGGGTCCAGCATATCCTGTCTATCCAACTGCTTTGTATTTTCCCTGATACCTGTCTGGTCTCTAAAAATACTGGAGAAGTATCAAAACTACTTTCCCTAAGAAATTTTAGAATCCTGGTATTTCTGAGTTAAAAGGGACCCAAAGGTCATTGAGTTTCTGATAGTTGTCTGATACAGGGGGCAACAGGCCCATTGAAGATGCAGAAACTGGCTGCCTAACATTACCAGGAGGGAGACCTCATTCAGCAATGTCTTAAGTCACCCACAGAGTAACAACGACTCTCATACTAAGCTTCCAAATTCAACAGTAGCTTGTGACTCTTTAAGATTAAAAAAAGAAAAAAAAAAAAAAAAACAGAAATGGATGCTGTTTGGAAAAACGAAGGTTCCTGCAGTCAAAAATTTGAGGAAAGGATTCTTTTATGTTAAGAAGTAAGGTGAGTCTCTGAAATGCATCCATGCATGTCACAGAATAAAGCCAAATAGTAACAAACAGCTTATGAAACAGAAAGCAGCCCCTTCCCAGACATTAGCCCCAGTGCCTATTTCCATTTGGAAAAGGCAGCCAATCTCCTGCATGTCAGGATCTGCTAACCTCCAGGAAGGACTATGCTGAGGACAGAGACTGCGTGCCTTTCTCCCTCTCCTCTCCCTCCCCTGCAGCAGGCACTGTGTTCCCACTACTCTGGGAACTGTCTCTATTATGAGACAGATGATATTTCAATGGGCCTACTTAACGGTACCTGTTCACCAAAAGCGGCACACCGCTTTGTATGCAACTTCCAGTCTCTCAGAAATCCAGTGACATTGGGGTGGAAAAAGATTATCTAAAACCAAAACCAAATGTAGCTTCTTTTGCCTTGGTAGGAGGGCTGGGAATGCCCCTGGGAAGGAGGATTTCTATATTGCTACAAGGGAAGGAACATCTTTGCGTCTGCCAAAGGAGTTCCTGAGCCGAGTTTGGGGAGTAGGCTTACAGATGGCTGCATTGCGCTGTATTCTATGAAGAGAAAAGTCAGGTCAGGGATGAGGAAGTAACTGAAACAGCAAGGTGGAAAAGGGGCGAAGCACATGGTGTGCCGTGGAGGTGTGGGACTCAAGGAGACACACAAGAATATCCAATATGCAATTTCGGATTGCTTACGTTTTTGGCACTGTAAGCCCTACCACCTCTCTGATCCTCCAGCAATGTCTGGGGCACACACTAACACACACCTTGGGGGACTGGCTTCATAGCTAGGAGCCTAGTCTTGGACCTGGGTTGATGTGGCAACAGAACAGAGAAGGAGCTTTCAGAACAATTCATTAACTGAACAAAGTAAGTCATTGAAGAGCTTAGACTCAGAGAATATAAGCAACCCAGAGACTCTTAGAATTCTGGCTGGGACAATGGACTTTCTGCAGACTGTGGAATGGAAGTTCAAGCCCATATTATCTGGAGGTTCAAGGGCAGAGTGACTCAAGAGGATTTCACAAGTTATTAAATGTATTAGGTGGGATCAGGTGGCTTTTCAATAATATGCACCCAGCAGTTTGCTAGTCAGGATACAGAACTAAGTATAAAAATGGCTTGTAGGATCTTGGAATATCTTGAACTATGGAATCATCTTTCCAAAGTACAAATATGACCATATTACTTCCTATGTAAGAGGACTATCACCATGACCTGACCCTGGAGCCTGCTGCTCAGCCCCGCTATGCCGTGCAGTTCCCCAGCCCAACTCAGTAATGCCCTGCAACCCCACCCCTTTCCCCTCCTCCTTTACTGCTGCTTCCTGTACAAGGCTGTGCCTTTGCTCCTGCCCTTCCCTCTGCTTGAAGTGCCCTTCTGGTCTTTAATTTCCTAGCTCTTATTCTTCTTCCAAGGCTGGGCTCAGAGGTCTCTTCTTCCAGGAAGCTTTCCTGGTTGTCCCAGTTCGGGTCATGAGTCTGTTGTCTACTCAGCATATAATTCTACAGTGACATGTAT